GTGATCAACCTGATGAGCCACACCTGGGCCGTCGACATAAAAGGCCAACACCAACCCCATACTGCGCCCTCACTCTTCTGTTGGACACGGCCGCGTCTTTGCTTCTGCACATTTTCACACACCCATACACGCAATCATTACTGATAACTGACTTCCACGTTTGTTAGGTTTCTTTGAAGACCTTTGGTTTTGGTTTTAGTAAATAAATACGCTTTTTGTCACACTTAACTTGTCTGGTCTCCCATCTTTGTTGCAGCCTATGAGCCAGGCCGTAACACAAACATTCAGCACAGTCTCTGACTTGGTGGCCGGCAGTAGCTTAAAAGAAGAAAGAATTGTATAACACAAATGAAGAATATAGTAAAGAAGAGATATTAAATGTAGTGGCCCAAAGCACATACACACAGCATTTTGATGATTGAGAGTGCAGAAACTATACAACCCAAAGAAATGCAACCTTCATGTTGTGTCTTTATGTGTGGTGAAGGATGGTCTGGTCTTCAACCTGTAGATGGTACAGTAGATATGGATCCAAATTGAAACAAACATCCTAAATGCAGCATCTGCAGTGGTGAGTCAGAGGGCAGACCAGGGTGATCTGCATTCATCCGAGGTCTGCATGCTCTTTGAAGAAGGTTTGGGGCTTTTGATTGGGTCGGTGATGCCGAAGCTCCAAATACTAGGTATTCGATCATAAGGGATGAAAATTACAATGAGATCCAAATCATCAATGTACAGTTTATTATTGTGTCCAGAGAAACCTATTTAGAAAGAATTTCAAATGATTTTCTGAAGTGCAGCAGCCTATTTTGAAGTTTAAAAAAAAGAACAGTGCATGCGGAATTTTAATAACATAACCAAGCTCTATCAAATTTAGACGGAGCATAATATTGGGGAATAATACACTCTGCAATTATAGATTACATTCTGCAGTTGACATTTTAAAATGAGACTAAACTGGTTAATGGCTCATTAGCATGTTATTATCCAAAGTCTGAAAAAAAATCCAATTTCAGCTTCACCACACAACACAAATTAAAAACAGAACTCCTAAGGTAATATAACAAAAAAGAGAACCATTTGAGCCAAACACTACTTAACATACTAAAGGCTTGATCAAAATATTTCAATCAAAACAATGTATTATGGAAATGTGACAGGGCCTGTGAACTAGCAGAGGATTTGCTCCTGAAAATGCAGCTCTTCTCAGCTTCTCATAGCTTTTAAGGGAAGTTCAGCACATTGTTGAGCTTTGTTGCAGCTGAACCAAAGACTTTGCTAAATAAATGATACGGTTTTCTCCGTAGTTGTTTCCTAGCAAGTTTGCTGTACAACCAAAAAAGGTTAAAATATTTCAATGTAGTGTTCACAAAGTGTATTGTACAGAAACTCAGTTATTGCATCATGACGCTAAACTGCTGTTTTCAAGCACTATAAGGTGTGAGTCGTGAGCACGGCTGTCTTTCATGCGACGACTTAAGTCTAACACCCAAGGGAGTTAATAAATATAAATGCAGAAAGCAAGTGCTGAAAGATTATAGACCCTCTCACGCATAATGTAGTCAGCTTGCTTAAAGAAAAAAAAGGGGGTACATTTGAAGACTTGTCAAATAACCATTAAAAGATGTGGGTTTTTTATATTTACACGTAAATTACACGTATGTTTCCCACCTGGCAACGCTGAAACCAATGGAGTATTGTGCCAACGGTAACCAACCAACGCAACTCTCAGCCAGTATGGTGGTTTATAAAGGTATTGGACTGACATATGAACATTTTACTGTAACTGGTCACTAGAATTTGTGTTGAGATCAAGTCTCCTTGCTCCCACATTTAACTTATAAGTCGCTTTAGATAAAAGCATCAGCTAAATGAAATATGAAACCCAACGCTATCAGCTCTCGCTAGCTGTTAAGGAAAAGTCATTGTGGTGCCGATATACTACAATATTAGATGCACAGGAAAACAAAAGCGTAAGGGGGGTCTTGTGATTCTTGGTTTTCTAATTGGCTATGGCACAGTTGTGTTGGTGGCACACAATGTTTCAAAGTACGTTGACCATCTAGCTGCCAGCTACCATTGGAGACGTTTCTTTGGATCAAAGCCCGGCAACATTCACCGTGAAAAAAGCACAGCATATCTGTTCAGCATGGCTAGGAAGAACAAAGCACAGCCGCAAGAATAAAAGACCAAAGCAAACCCAGTGGGACAGCTTTCAGAAACTGGTTGCCTTCATGACATTTACATTATTGATTTGCAGATGAATATGAACTAACAGCGTTGACAGCATGGCTTTGATGCAGCCTTTCCGCCCATACCAGCTTTTTAATAAAAAACGTTCTAATAAAAACAGTTGGTGCGTTTATGTGACGACTGTGTTGCGAGTGTTTAGACCACAAGGGAAACATATTTCTATGGAGTTCATCACCTGCCTGTGAGCCTGTGTTATTCCTGTAGTTGTGTACAGCTTAATTCAAGCAGAGACTAAAAATAGGCATTGATTTAATCTTGAGACAAAAAGTATGACTCAGAACTAAAACTCAACGGGCATACTGCCTGAATTAAAAGCGGTGAGTGATTCATTCACGACAAAAAATGTAGATCTGATATCGTAATTAATATTCACTCAACGAAATCACCAGTTTCAGTGCTTAAGGAATTTCTAAAAGTATATTTGTAGCATTACAAATACAAGACTAGCATATTTTAATTCATTCTGATGGCATTAATTTTCACTTGCAACGACCCCAGACAAAATGAGCACAGTCTACAGGTTCATTATATTTCATTTAGCTGGTGCTTTCATCCAAAGTGACTTACAGAAAAGTGCAATCGGCAATGAGGAAAGAATTTACAACACCAAGCACAACATTAGCTTTAAATAATCCAAGTCAGGTAGGTGTCAGGTCAGAGAACCAGGTGGTGGATTAGCATGTAGCTCACTGTCATGCTAGCTAGACACTAGAGTTTGTGTTCACTCACAATCAATCTGATTTTGTTCACTTTTTGCACAACAGAATCGTTTTTTAATGCTATCCATCTGTCTCTGTTGACTTACCTTTACCATATTTGAACTGCAAGGCATTATAAGTGCCAAGCTATTTTAGAAATCATTGTTAAACTCTTGAAATAAAAAGAACAGTACATGCTGTCTGTGATAGCTCTTCCACTCTGTCATACGTTATACTACGACCAGAGTGCCTTTAATGGAAAGGATTTTCAGGAACTCTCCAAGTCTACATTGAGGTTATTCCCACACAGCAAATCATAAAGGGAAACAAGTATAGTATTATTAATTTACTGCATTTGTTTGTGATAAAGTGGCTCAGCTTAAATGGTGCTTCAAAGATAATAACAATTAGTCATTCAGGAGTGCTAATTAGGCCGGTCGCTGGAAATAAGATTTATTAAAATGAAGAAACGAGTGCACTTAATGACGTGCCGTTTCAGCGTTCTAATAAGCATTGCAAGCCTCGAGCAGGCACATTTAAAAATGTTCCTTAAGTAATTAAAAAAAAGACTTACTCATGGTTGTTTAGTTTTCAGCCTTTTCAGCAAACCCCCATTCAATAAAAATACCCAAGGCCATTTAGAGATGCGCTTCCCAAAGAGACTCTGTGATTGGCAAATTATAAAACTGCCCTTGGTTTTTTTTATTTGACATGACCTTTCACTTGACCCAAAGGAACAACTACGATTTGAAAATGATTGCTTGAAGCAGATTTTGCAATAGCAGATTATTTGATCATTTCATGAAAGGCTCACCAGCTGCTTCGGTTACGGTGCCCTTTAACTTCAAAGAAAAATAATCTTGTTTACTCCGAAATGGTTACAGAGAAATAAAGAAGGAACCGAACAGACTGACTGAATATCAGAGAAAGAGTTCCCAAATATCTCTGGTAATGAATTTAACATTAACCTCTTTGATCGTAGCTGTGTCTCGGTGGTTCCTAAACCACAGCAACAACAAATCGTTCTAGGTTAACTCTTTATGTACACAGTTTTACAATTATTTTAAGTGGTGTGTCATCCCACTGTAAAATGCAATATAAAAATGGTATTATAGTCCCTATGGGAATTGAGAGTACAGGTATAAGTGGGAGGGTTGGCTGAAGTGTACATTTACTGATTGGCTTGGATTGACAGTATGCATAGCTGTTGTGGATATGGACAACTGTAACAAAGACAAACATCGAGCTAGTGCAACAACAAGACAAGGCAAGCCAGCTTGCAGCAGCTACAGAATTGTAGCAAACGTTAGAAACAAGGAAAGCTTTCTGTCCATTAGGAGACTTTGTAAATCAGAGATTAGGTAGAGCAGCTGCGAAATCAGAAGGAAGACTTTTTTTTATACATAAAATATGATCATATTTCACCAAAATGAAATCCAGATTTTACAACCCGCTGAAAAATATGTTCAGAGCTGGACTGACAAGAGACATTATCTTTATTACAAGTCAGTGTAGCAATACTTGATTAATGGAGCTATTCTTTTGAGGTTAATTAGTTCCATAATGTGGCTTTGCACTCAGGAGGTGAAGCGGTTATCCACAAATTGGTCCCCCAGCCTCTGCAATCAAGATGTCAAAATGACCTCAAATTGCTCCCGATTGGCCTGGCAGAGTGTGTGAATGCATGTGAATGTTTATTACACCTGATGAGAAGGTGGCACATTGTATTGTAGCCTCTGACCATATAATCGACATGATAAATGGTAAAGGCGCTTTAAGGGGTCACAAAGACTGGAAAAGTGATATGTCCATTCACCATTTGTATTTGGTTTCTCATTAGGATGAGAATGTAAAAAAATACTATTAAAAAATATCACCATTAGAAACACCCCCTTGTGTGGCAGCATCCCCCCCCCCCCCCCGCCCCACACACACACACACACACACACACACGATTTATAAGGTGGAGCATTTTGTGCAGCGTAATCTCAGGATCACACAAAGTGAGTGGGCCACCAGTAGGCTACAGAGGACGCTGGATGATGGTGAGGAGAACCAAAAGGCAGCCGCTTCGCTCACAGGATTTACATTAGGATGAATGGAGTGTTCTTGCGTAACGTTAAGGCGATGGATTTCCCTGTACTGAATCACCCTTTTGGCGCGATGTTAAATTCCGGAAGACGGACCTAACATAAGGAATTGTTTTCGGAATTCACAGAATTCACAGGATTCCGACTCGTTCAACAACACAGAGAGGCTTCACATCCCTGGAGATACTGGTTTGTAAACTTTATGACTTTGTAGTTACATTATACATTTAAATAGCGGCTTTCCTGTACTGATTAGGTTTGTTTTCTGCTGTTAAGGTTCGTTACATCAGTTTGAAATGTCCGACTTCCACAACCGGAGCCAAACCAACGCACGTCGCAGTGACTACGTGTGGCAGTATGAATATTATGACGACGAAGAGCCCGTGTCTTTTGAGGGACTCAAAGCGCACAGATGTAAGCCTAATATAACTGTATACATCAGTGAGGAAATCTTCCACTGCTTTACCTGCCTTTGACTGTGTACGCGTGTTTCCCAGTACGCGCAAGTGTGTTTGTGCATGCAATGTCTGTGCGTAGTTAGAAATCAGGGTTACCCACCTTTAATTAGTAATAATTCATTACCTCCTCTACTTCTTCTTATCTGTATTGCTTCAGCTGGGGAGTGACAGTCGTTACCTGCATTTCAATAAACACATAGGCTGGCATCAATATTTTAGGCAGCAGCTGTACTGGCGTTTAATACTCCACTGTTAATAATAAAGCCACTTTAAAAAACAAGGTTGATGACATGATGTGATCACATTTTAGAAGTACTGAAAGCTCACTTTTACTGAGCAATAGGGGATTTTGCAGTCAGGAAGAAAGCCCCCTGAAGATTGAAATCACAAAGGCATGAACAGAGAGGATGTGTTAATCGTTAAATTACTTAAATAAGACTTTCTCTTCTCTGACATTTCAGACTCCATCGTCATCGGCTTCTGGGTTGGACTAGCTGTGTTTGTTATATTCATGTTTTTTGTCCTCACGCTTCTCACAAAGACAGGAGCGCCACATCAAGAGTGAGTAATAGCATGCAGGTCTACAGCCCATATTTCCATTCACCTTCACATCTGGCCCCACAGGGTTAGTTTCAGCAGCACCAAGGAGAGCTCCAGCAAACCACCTCTCACATTTCTCATTCTCAGCTTTCAAGTCTGGGTAAACTCAGTGTGTGTGCAAGGCATAGTCAGACCGGACTGTAATGAGCTACAGGGATGCATTTGACATTCTGACAGTAGACTGAAGCTGGGGTAGGCAGTCAATTATTAAACCTCTGCCGTCATTGGGCAAAATACCATAATGACCACTTAGCATATTGTAATTTAAGTGCCACCCCAGAGTAGTCAATGTTTTTAAAAAGCAAAAACCGGCAGGATTTGATAATAAAACCCTTCTCCTGCACTTCCCCCTTTCTATTCGGAGCTTCTCCCATTGAGAGAGAATATGTTATTAATAGTTTCGCCTTCTGCTAGATATGAAGAAATCTAAACTTGGCATCATTCTCTCTATCTCTGAAACACCTCACCAATATTGACTTCTTTCTCAATCCTGTCTTCCTTTTTTTAAGTTGCTCTGCAGTGTAGGCAGTTTATTATTGATAATGCTGGCATATCCAACATTTCCTGCAGGATATTTCACCCTCTACCATCTGTAAGCCCTGTCAAGCGCAAATCCTTTTTTTCTGAAACAACTTCTAATTGTCTACCATAGTCTCTCTCAGAGGACCACTTGAATAACCCTATATGCTGTGAGGTAATTATGCAACACATTACATTATTGCGCTTTGTGGAAAGCAGCTATTTGACTTATAGGTGAGCTTCATATGGCCAAATGCACATTGCCATCTAAATTACAAATCAGTACTGGGAGTGAGTACAGCACAGCCAAGATGAAATGGGGATTTTTTTTGGCTAGCTATATGTCCTTTCCCATCATTATTTTTTCAGGAAAGGTTGATTTTTAGAATTCATTTCCAGACACAGATGCATGGATAGTGAAAAAGAGGGAATCAAGACAGCGACCTGTGCTGAGCTGCAGGTTTTCTCAGGACTGAAATGACAATAATAAGCCCCTGATGTTTTCAAAGCAATTTCCTGGTTTAATCTCGCCACCCTGCTGTGATCTGTCTTTAACAGAAACCCCGACTCTGCAGAGAAGCGCCATCGACCAGGCAGTTGTCTGGTAGACATCGGCAGTCCCCAGGACGAAAACGACAAAGCCTTCTCCCGACCCTTGCTAGCGGAGTCACGCACATATTTTCATTTCTACATCAACGAGGAGGATCAGGGGAAGCAGAAACCAGAGGAGGAGAGAGTCAGCGGGGCTCGAGCGCAGCGGGGGGGCCGAGGGGTCGGCTCCTCGGGGGTGGACGAGATGGAAGAAGAGGTTGAGGAAGCTGCGGGACACAAACCTATCAACGGACTAATGGAAGAGAGTAATACAGACAGGGAATGTGCCTTCTTTTCCCATTTCAACATCCCTAACTTTGTGAACTTGGAGCACAGCTCAACGCTTGGAGACGATGATCTGCTGTATGAGCCGTCTGCCATACTGGAGCGCCAGTCTCACTCTCATGATGCTCACTGTGACATCCACTAAGTGGGTTTATACAAAATACATGGCATGGACTTATTATTATTGTAATGTATTCCTTTTACCTGGCCATTTGTGATGTGACAGGTAGAATCACACACACGTCTCACAGCTGCCTTTTAGAGTTTTTATCTTTTTCAGCGAGCATAGATTTCCATCAACAACAGGGTATAAAAGATGGCTCACAAACCCGTAGGCGTACCTCACATTTATGCGATGACATTTCTCAGATTAAATGGTCTTACAAACAGTACCTTTCACTTTGAGTACTAGGCTCCTCTGAATTAGACGCGGCTGTATTGAACCAGGACTACAGATCTTTTTACAGAGAAATGAAAAGACAGTGGTTCACCGAGCAGAGACGTTTGGTACAATATATTCTGCTATTAATGCTGTCTTGCTTTCATGTTCGATTCTGAAGAATGAACACACAACACAAATGCCTGCTTGTCTACCAACAAGATTAAAAGCATGGAATTTGTATTCTGGGAAGCACACTTTATTAGAAAAGGTAAAGTGTACTTCAACATTATGAATAGTAGCAAAACAATTGTTATATATCACTATTAGAAGGTAGTTAACCCGTGACCTTTTACATGTGATATAACACTTTTGTACACCTCATTACATGATAAATGATTTGTGTTTGTCTAAATAAAGCCTAAATGGTTTTAAATATTCGACTCAACACTGGTGCTCAAACACCAAGGCCAACTGCAAAAGGTAGCAATATCCATCAGAGGATAAATCTGATTAACTACCTGCCAGACGAAACAGAGAAAATAAACAACCAGCCGGTAAAGACAAGATACAAAACAAACAAAAAATGCTAACTTTTGCTACAAACGTTTTGGTTACAATACAATACTGTGGTAGTGTGTTTAGTGCTGCCCCCATGTGGCAAAAAAAACGATTAGCCAGGTTTAATTTATACTTTTGAGTATTCTGGTGAACGTCTAGTAAAATATCTGTATAAGTATGAACACTGAAGTTTGGAAATGTCTGTAAGATGTGTTGGATATATTTTCAATGTGGGAGATTTGAGAAGAAATTAGACAAAAAAACACTTGCACCAAGCAGTGCTCCCCTTTTGGATCTTAATTCGTGAAGCAATCTCCTTTGCAGTGAATACAAATCAAACTACTTTGAGCCATTTCCGTCGATGATTATGCAAAAGTACATTGCCCGCCAGCTATTATTCTCACTCATCAGTTAATGCCCGAGCTACTACATTTGGTTAACAGAGGGATATGTTAGGAATGCCAAAGAGCCCATTTACATTAACACGACAATGACTCCTTCAAATCATGTTTTAGACAAACAGAACATGATGTGTGGTGATGTGGAACCAAATAGGCTTTAAAGGTATCAGCAATTAATATTTCTGAATGAAGGGGTGTTCAGTGAAACTGAACTGTGCAATCTCAAGACAAACACACTTATTTATTTCTCTCTATCTGTGTAAGTGGTTTTGAAAAGTGTGTGTGAATATCAGATAATCTCTCCTTTAATGTGGCCTCATAACTGTATCACACCCACTCTACCCTTATGTGCCTTCAGCACAAAATATGCAGGGATGACTTGGCAGCAACTTCAGACTCCACATGCCTCAGTAGTTTAGCTCCAAACAAGCTTTTAGAGGGGTGGAGGGGGGAACTTACTAACCAATGGTGTAGTGAGGATCAACAACCATGGGAGGGGGCAATGGAGTTATATCAATTCCATGCAGCAAGACTGCCATTTGCTCTTTTTCTCCAAAGGCCCCAAGGCGGTCCCTGTAGGCATTGTGGTTGACATTTGCAATGACATATTCAACAATGAGAAGCAATGGGGGAGCGACAGAGTGGGATTAATGAAAAAGTTGGTGTTTTGTTAACACAGAACTTTCTCTGGGAACTGGTGGTTGTCACAACACAGTGTCAGTCTAATGGTAATTACATTCTGAGTTGCACGAACAAAGACACGCAACATATTTCTGTTGCAATCAGGCCGTCATGATATAAACCGGGGTAATGTTGTAAAGAGTTGTTAAAACAGCTTTCCCATCACAGATCAATACTGAGGCACTGAAGGAGGAATGCATTGAAGAAGAATGCTTTTTTAAAAGTCTCTGCACTTGAAACTTACTGAAATATTTCTAAGCTATGTGAAGTGTATAATTCAGGCAAATGTAATAAATCTCATTCAAAGTCAAGAAAATGTGTTGGGGCTGTGTAGAGGCTCCCCTTAACTAGTGTTTTACAACCTTTTTGGTATGAGGAACCGGGGAAACACTGTCAGGTTAACTCATGTAACATAATGCTTAATCAATTCCCAAAGATGTTCCAAATATATGCTACGTCTCATTACATAACATTGGATATTGTTCATCTTTCATACAATTAAACTGTCAACCGTCATTTAGGTTGACTGTGGTCAGCAATAACACTTCCAATACTACTACTACCACCAATACCACTACTACTATTAATACTACTTAGAGTGAAGCTAAAACAGATTTACCAGCATATAATTTAAACTGTCATTAGTTTAAGCAAGTTATTTTTGCCATTTACGGTTTTCTTCTATAATTTTTAGCTAATTAGCTTTCATAGACTGTTACTTAAAAAACAAAATTAGTTCTGAGTTGGGTAATGTGTTTTGGAAACATTTGTTGTTTCTGTTTAAATACTCTTTACATCCCAACAGCAATATATGAAATGCCCTGCTAAATCAAAAACAACACAGAACTGTTAAAGTCTAATCATTTTATTCGGGCCGAGTCAGGCAACATTGGAGTGTTTTTTTCATTTTGATAATTAAAAAAATGTACTTTACTCTTGTTGGCTTGTCCAACTTTACCCACCCTAGCTTTAATGTTTATATATTCTCTTAAAATACATCCGGAACACACTGACCTGTGTGGGTTGTCAGAAAATTGGAGCATACTTTCCATCAGAGGGACTAAAAGGCCTGACTTTAACAGATGTCCAACATAAACACACTCTGAATGGTATGACTCACTGCACCAACTCATTACATACAACACCCAAAGTTGGCAGTACAGTTGCTTCAATAAGTAGTGCACACATTCAGTTCACTTTTGTACATTCACAGTTTGTTTTAGATATGTTTGTCCTTCTAATTTGCATGTTTGAGTTACCAGTGCTGACGCTGCTGCTGAGGGACTTCAGTAGGCCGGACCAAAAGATGTCCCACCCTGAAGCAGATCTAAATACAGGAAGTAACCAATCAGAATGTACCAAGTGCCCACCACATCGTAGGGGGGAGAATGGGATTTTAATAGTTTAGAGATGTCGTTTATACCTCTAGATTATATTATTTTGTTGATGTGTTTATAGTGGTTGAATACTTAAATAAGCATTTTGATGGACCAATTGTCTTGTTTTTCTTTTATTTGTAGTTGGGGGTGTTTTGTCTTTGGTTTACTCCCATGTTTCAAAAGTGGTGTAATCAACAAGCTATATATATATATATATATATATATATATATTCCCCTTTGTGGTCAGTGAATTGTTTGATTAGTCTAGTCTGTGAAGTTTTATTCAGTTTATGTTATTTCAAACTGTGGTAGTTGGCACAGAACATTCCTGCACATTTTGTCTCAATGCTGTTTAATTTGTTTGGTAATAAAAACGTTTTCTTTTGGGAAATCCATGTACAGTATGACTCCTGGCTGCCTGCCATGTCAGTCCCTCACAGATCTCTTAAAATAGTTGTTGAAGAAAATCGCTACTTAAAAAACTACTAAAGACTGCATCCAATAGCCTTCCTATGGCACAACACAGCCTGAAATGTTTTCTTAATCTAACTTCAGAGGGTTGACACTTGGCCCCAGCTGACTGTTGATTCAAAAGTATTGCCAAGCCAAGAGAGTCTGGGTACATCCAGAGAATGGATACCTCTTTCTCTCTCCCTCAACAACACCAAAGCAGCTGTTTACACATGCATCCAGTGGAGCTGCTCTGTGTAACAAAAGGAGACCGCTTGCAGTGAGCAGCTGCCAGGTAAGCATGTCTGTAACTGTATACATTTAACAGAGGGCTGTGCTGAAAACAATTCTCTGCTCATGCTGTAAAACCTGGATGAACCAAGAATAAAAACGATAAAACCTCTAATTACACTGCAAAAACATAACTGGAGTCCACTAAAGTAGTTAAGTAAAAATGTGTGTCTCAGCCCCCAAGAGTTTTGCTTTTTCAGTGTATAAAAAGCTCTAGAGCTAATCGAGGTTAATAATTGGAGTCAGCAGAGGTGAGGAGACATTATGGGGCATTTTCCTCCAGGTTTTGGTCTGCAGCACAAACAAATCCACTTATGTTTTTAATTAGCTTCAATGAGCTTCCTCTGAGTGATTTGTTATATGGCATCCTTTTCATGTTGCCTCCAAACACTGGCACAGTAGAGCACACAAACACTGGTTGTAGTGGAGAATTTCCCAGAACAATTTCCTTCTGCTTAAAGTAGAAATGATGTCTGGACAGATACCACTGGGAATACTAGCCTGCAAATGGTCAACATTTACAGTTGTTTTCCCATGCGGTTTTCTATGAGAAAAGAAAAAGGCGATGTGTACATTTTTCATAGGTTGAATAATGAGACAGGTTTCAGCTTCTGTAGCACATCAATAAGTCATGGGGAAGACAAGAGAGAAAGGCGGAAACACAGGTGTGTGAATGTGATGCATTGTGTGTTAATAGCTTGAGAGGGAGTGTGTGTTTTGAATAACCTGTTTTTTTAGTTTTTTAGAATATACTTTACTAATGGCTCTCAAAGTGACGTCTTTCACCAAAGGTCCAGCAGGTTATTCCAAGAGGCCTCCTGCAAAATGAAAACACAGATTTAAATGAAACAGGATGCATAAGACCCTTAATGATATTTAGAGTGTGATAAGATACTAAACATCTAAGGACAGTATGTAGAGTTTTCAAAAGAGTTTCTATCCTGTGTATAGTAATATCCTACAACCCTATGCACATTTAACCCCAGCCCATAGTGTTATAACATTGACAGTTGCTCAATAAACCGCCATCACTGCTCGCTGTGTCACGGTGCCTCGGGGTGTATTACCTTGCCCGGGCAGATTCCACCTCAACCTCAGTCGTCAATGCCATGGGAAAAAAATAATACTTCCAAAGCTGAACACTATGGCATCTATGTGGCGAACTCCAAGAGTAAGCCCTGTTATTTTCTCATTTTGAACCGCACTAAATATTAATAGTGTCGTGCTTGTGCAGACTCCCTGTCCTGAGCAAGGAGGGACAGGTTACCTCACACAGGCGGCGGCATTGAAAGGCTTTATTCTGAATGAGGGTTTTTGCCGAAGCCTGCATTTGACCGATGTATTCCCGAGACAACCCAGAAGCAAGGAGAAACACTGTTATCATGGTAAGATCTCACTCTGTCTCTGGTGACGTGCCTGTAAATATGTGAACTGGGACTCGTGGGCTTTTCGGTCGATAGGGCCTCTGTTTGTGTTGGTGTAATGCAGAGCAGTGTGTGTAGAAACCTAGACCTCCATCGGGATTACATGGGCTGTCAAAAAGCTTTTCATATAAGATTAGCGAGGGGCGTAATACTATCAATTTGTTTTCGACATATTTATAGGTGTTAAGAAAACATAAATCTCCCATGTATGCTAAGACCGTTAAATATCAAACATAATAAGCAAGTATGATTATTATTTTTTAGAAAACCCCATAATTACCAGTGCCACTCCCACACCTACAGGCACTTGGTAATGTGACATATAGATAGTGAAAAAAGTAAGACCGAAAAAAGTTTCATTTATTTCATTAAAATGAACAGTTGGAATAATCTCTATTTACATGGACAACAATCTTTTAATGGGTTAAATTCCTAGACTAAGTTGCATGGAAAGACTGAATATAGCTGCCCGCCAAGTGAAACAAGGGCTCACAGATTTGGAAAACCGAACAAACTATATTCAACAGGCTTTGAAACCCACACACTGACTGCGTCATTTCCCCTGGAAAATGTGTTTGGACACGGCCTCTTGCTGCCTTCAATTGCTGACAAAAATGTAGGAATTTTGACAACACACATTCGAACTGAAAGAGGTGCTTCAGAAAATAAAGTCAGCAGTGACACTACTATGCATCTCACTTTTAAACGGCAGTGTTCAAACCTGTTTATGTATGCCATTGGATAAATATCCGACACAATGAGGCTATTTTCGACCACTTTGGAGAAGTCACAACAAGCTGGTTACTATGAAATGGTTTCCAACAATCTGTATTTATGGCCTACAGATTTTTTTGCTACAAGGTCAAATGTGGACTCACTGAGGTTTAGCAAGTGTCTCACATATTTGACAGCCACATGATACGTTGATACTTGAGGAGCGTAGCTGTGATGTTTCAACATTAGAGTTTACCTGTACACAAATGTTTGATTTCTGTGTAAATAATCAGAATTACTAATCCAATTTATATGACTTTACTGTATTAGATTAATTAAGTATTGATGAATGTGTGTATTAATTGGAAAAGGTACAGCCATTATGTTTTTAATGTTTTGTTATAATGGAGTGAGGCTGTGCCACTACTGTAATATGTGTACAGAGACATTGAGACACACAACAGTAGTTATGTAATGAGAGTAACACTATATATGAATTGCACATACAAACAAACAACATGTGTCATTTGTCTTTGAAACAAAACATATATTTTAAAAGTTGGGAGTTGGCCAAAAAGTCAACCAAATCTAAACTACGCCGCATCCAATTTTAAATACATAACACGGGAGAAAAAAGAATTCATCATAATTACTCTTGACCTTGTGACCCCTCTAAAGATAAAAAAAAAAGCATTTAGGAAAAACCATTTCATAAAAAAAAAAACACCTTCAGAAATATTGAAAGTAAAATAACAATATATGCCGTACAAACTATAGATTCTTAAATTAGTCGAGTTTCAAGATCTATCACTTTAGCCTTAATGTGTAGTCCTATGTTGCATGTTACTGCTCTATGGTGTTTTATGGCTGTGCTTATTTTAACTACTGCTAAAAAAAATAAATGCCATTCTAGTAGTTTGTCACAAAAAATCTAATTTTAAATTAAACAATAGAGTAAAAAGTACAACATGTGCCTATCTTATGTAGTGTATAAGGTGCATACAATGAAAATGATTGAGTAGAGGAGGCTATCTCTTGTACTTTGATAACAATTTCAGTATATTTCCTCCTTCCTGTGTTTTCAAACTAGTTGTAAGCACAGGCTATTGAAGCAGCCCTACTGTAGACGTAGTTAAACGTTTTAAGATTAGTTTTTAACTCAGAGGGTAAAATGTTATTAAAATACATAAGTGTATCCAGATTAAGTCATTAGGATAATAAAAACTCCGGTCAGACCACCTGTTGAATAACCAGCTTCATATATTGACACAACATTTTACGACGGGCACTTGAATGCGTCGTTTTATCACTAGTCTGCGTGCGCTCCGCTGCAGGGGGAGAACTTTTACAGCGCCAATATCTGCGATGCCACAGTTTGCCCTGTTGTGGATGCTTCACTGGATGCAAGGAGGACTTATCACAACATGCTCATCAGTTAGACATGCAGCTTAGCGCAGATCTGTTCCTCTACAAACTTACAGCGCTTTATATTTTGAAGGGGGACCAAAAGTTTTCTTCTGTGTCTTATTAAGGGTGAGTTGAACTTGAAACTACTGCCAAAAGGAATTGCTAAAAGTAAAAGAGTTAACGATGGATCTATAACTTTGCTTACGCAGGATATCTTTTTTGTGATCATATTCTGCTTTTTAACACTGTAGTTGTTTTTCCCGGTGGAATGATTTTGTTTTTGTTTTATGCTCTTTAGGAGTTTTTGTTCTAAACCATAATCATGTTCACATCCTACATAAAGAATCTGAATGATATGGTATTTTCTACGGTAAGCTTACAGGTTATAAGCACTGCATGTATTTGCTATGCTAAGAGATGCATGGCCCTACTAAAAAATGTCTGTGGGAAAACTTCTACTTATATTTACTTTAGATCCCAAGCCTGCTTTCCCTTCCTTTGTTCATAGGCAAGTTTAACATATTTGCACTACCACGTGTTAATACTGTCAGCTCCACTAAAGTTTGCGCATATTTATTGAAAATATGCATGTTTATTAACTGTCACTGCATGTGTATTCAGACATTTATGTGAATTATTCTCTGCCTTTTATTTAGTCTGAGAGCCCTGAGGAGCAGCAGAGCACCGGGGTCTTGGGCCGTATCGGGAGCTGGCTCTCTCCATGGAAGGGAAATGGTCCGAAGAGTCCCACTGGAAATGCCTCCCCAACTAGCGACCAGGCTCCTAAGTCAGAGGGAGAAGAGGAGAGTGAGCGGCCTGTGAGACTCCGGGCAAAGAATCAAGAGTGGGAGGAGGAGAAGGAACAGAGCTCCAATCCCAATCCACTCTTTCTCTCCAGAGACATTTCCCCCTATGAAGAACGGGACGCCGCACAGTCTGCCCACAGAGACGGCTTTATTGTAAGCAGCACTGAGACAGCAGAAGGAGGTTCAAAAAAGGAGGAGTTTGTGGAGTACAGGCAGGAGAGAAAAGGGCAGAGGGAGGAGAGAAGCAACCGTTCTTCAGAGAGCGGGAATCCTGAGAAAAATGCCAGTCATCTGACACATCTCTCTTCCTCTTCTAAGCAGGGAGTGGTCCGGGACACTGATCGAGCCCACACCCAGCCACAGGCCCATGTAGGCAGGAAGCTCCATGTGTACCTGGAGGAGACCGAGGTGACTCACAGCGGCAAAGAGACCTGTGCTGGACAGGAAATTGTCCGCACCGAAGTTACAAAAAAGGACTTAACAATCCTCCGAAAGGGGCCGTCATCATCAAGTTTTGATTTGAACTCGAGTTCAAAAAGTGAAGAGATCAAAAGGACAAATGTGAGTCCTGCTAAAGGTGCAGATAGATATTACAGTACCCTAGTGGGAGTGTCACTGAAATCACCTAAAGACTCACAGTCAGAAGCTGAATCTGAAGAACAAACAGAGGCCAACAGCATGGGGCGTAAAAACGCAGCCAGAAGGAAATTAAGACAGAACTCTCAGGGAAATGAAGGGAACACCGCCCAGGAAAACATGCCTCCCACTGCCCTCCCTGTCCCAGAGGGAATCCTTACATCAGATAACTCATTGACCACTCCTCAGGGCAAAGGTGCAGAGACTCACATGGGAGAATCATCTGTAAACTCCTCCTCCTCCCAGCCCAACCCCACCTCTCAGGCTTCACCTGAAGGCACGGAGAGTGAGACTTCCGGCCCTGACGCCGTCAAGCAGTTGGACAACTTCCAGGACTCAAACTCAGTCATTGCCGCCAGTCTGGCATGTGTGGCAGATAGGGGCTCAGACATGGAGGACGACGACAGTCTTTACAGAGTTGAAAGGAAGACAGAGACACCAGAGTCCAAACGCAGGAGTTTAAAGGTCTCTCGAAGTGAGGTGAAGCTTTTTACAAAAAATGTGCCTTTGGAGAAGAGTCCAGCAGGAGGCACCGAGGAATTGAAGACAGCGGTAAAGAAAACCAAAGATGGAGAAAAAGATAAGCCCAACACAGAGACTGACGGCAGGTAAGTCTTTACCCTGAATGTGATCTGTGTATAGTATGTGAAACAATGACTCAACACAGTGGCATAAACTGCCGGGTATAGTGAATGGTCTTCAAATTATATACTAACTTAATATATATATATATATATATATATATATTATATATATTTGTTAAGAATAATTGTTAGTGCACTAGTATTGTACCTCCAACATTAGCAGCTAACCTGTAAGGTGTTTGCCTTACATGACATTGCTTTCAAAAGAAAGTGCGCTATGGGTGGAATATTACAGGTCTCTCCACAGTGAAACAAAGGTGTGCGTCATAAAACAAAGTGCAGCTCTGTTGTTTAAGAGTGTAACTGTAACGCAAAGAAAATATGGAAAAATAGCTCAGCTTTAACTCAAGAAATCACCCAGTCATTAGTATAACATTTGTCCATGACAGAAGACAGGGCGTGTTTATATAAATTATTATTATTATTATATAAAGTTTAACATTTTACAAAAATAAAACATATGTCTTAATTCAAACCTTAATCTCTTATCCTACACAGACAACACCAGCTGAAGAAAATCGATGAGGAGCCTAAGCCAGCCGCTGGCCGCATTGCGGGTAAGATCAACCTCTTTGAGCACCCGGCAGCGAGGGTCAACAAGCAGACCTTCCAGAGCCAGAGGAGTGCTGATGTCTCTCCAGCTAGAACATCCACAGAGAAGATGAAAGAGGAATTTGTCTCGTTAGAGAAGAGGTCAAAATCTGCTGAACGTTACGCGATGGCCATGTCCGGCACTGCACCAGCCGTCAGGGAGAAGCCAATGACGATCAAGGAGCGAGCGAGGAACTTCACAGAGGCGTCTAAATCCGATGACAGGCCCGCAGTGTCTCAAAAGCCAGCAATGACAGGAATGTCTCAAAGATCCTCGTCGTCTGTTGCAGGTGCTGCATCCACAAAACTGGACAATCAGGGTAAACTGGATACTAAGGAGCGAATACAGAAACAAAAGTCAGAGATAACATTAAAACCGGATGGACAGGATAGCATTGCTGTAGGGGTAAAGATTTCCATTCCTAAAGAGCAACCAACAGACTCTCGAATAAGCAACACAGGAGACTCGAAAACAGCAGAAAAGGGGATGAAATCCAACAGTCTGGAAACAGATCCAACTAAGGAGACTAGTGATTCTGCAGAACTGACCAATAGCATCAGCCCACAGTCCAAAAGCCCTACCAGAATGGGCTCCAGACCTAAAAGAAAAAAAGGTAGGGAACCAGACAGTCCCATCAGCCCAAATGGTGAAAACAAACCAGATTGCTCAACAAGTAAGGCAGAGCTCACCGGTAATAAACAACATCAGGTGGATGATACTGAGAAGGCCGCCTCTGCCTCTAAGACACAGGAAGTCTCATTAGCATCTGAAAAAGCCCAAGGAAATACATCAAACAAACAGTCTCTGTCTGATACCAAAGGAACAGCTATTAAGAAGGAGATACTGGTGGTAGACGAACAAAAGGAAAGGTTAGCTGTCTCAGTAACAAATGAGAAAATTAATAAACTAGACAACAGACAGGAGGGATTGCCTGAACCATCTGTCAACAAAGATCAACCTGATACTGCTGCTGGTCGCAGTGGAACAAAGACACCTATTGACAAGAGTCCCGTTATTTTACCGCGAAAGCAGGAACAGGCAGGGGCAAACAGGCTCTCATTCACACAGAGGAAAGAAAATGCCTCCAAGGACTGCAAAGAAACTTCAGCCTCCTCCCCCTCACCTGTGGTTGAACAACCTACTGAGAAGATTCGTTCAATGAAGCAAGGGCCACCTGTCGAACATCCCAAATTAGAAAAAGAATTGCCAACACAATCTGCATCTAAAAGTGAAGGGAAAGTAAAACTTCAGAATAAGAAAGACACAGGACCAAAACCACAACCCTTAAACAAGGACACAGAACTAATAAATCAGACTGCGAGTGAAGATGTGAGGAATTTAGAAAAGGTGGAGGGTGAAAAAAGAAATCAGACTGAGAAGAAAAACAAAGATAAGCCCCAGCAGCTACCGCGTCCAGATAAAAATACCACAAAGGCCAAGGTTTCAGACGGCAGACAATTTATCTCTGGCACAAAGGCGAGTGCTGCAAGGGATGATGAAAGAATAAATGCTGAGATAAAAGATGAGAGAAAAGTCATAATAAAACCAGAAATGATGCAACCAGAACCAGTGTCTCAGTCCTTAGAGAAGACCGGTACATTATTAGACCTCCCTGCTCCAAAACAACATGTCACACACACGAAGAGTACACATCCAGAAAAAACTGCTGTTTGTGCTGTCACCCAGACTAATGAGGCTGTGAGTGTGACAAAGAGTGAGAAAGGGCCGTCAAAGGGGAGTCAGGCTACATGTGAATTACAAAAAGAGTCTCCAAAAAGTCCTGGAACAGAGACAGAGCCACAGCCTCATTCTGTATCTGTGGAAAAAACGGAAAATCTACCGGATGACTCATGTGCACATGGAGCTAATGATTCGGAGTTCTCCAGCTCAGAGTCTATTACCAAAGCAACAACAGCAGCTGAGAAATTGACTGTAAAAGCCGGGGATGGCACTCCAGCGCTGATAGCTGCACAGACACTGTCAGAGGAAAAAGCATCTGTTAAAGAGCATACTCCAATTTCTCAATCTAAATCTGAGAGGAACAAGGGAGCAGGGCGGGTTGACGGGGAAAGCAATTCAAATGCCATCTCAGTGCCTGCAGTAGTCAAAGTCTCAGAAGATGTAATAAAACCAGCTCGCCGCCAGCGTGAGGATTCAAAATCCACAGAGAGCACAAGTGATATTACTTCAGTCAAGGGCGCAAAGAAAATAGCACACGGCCCCTCGGATAGAGAGGCTTCCAGCTCCATAGTTAATGTGGCAGGGAACACAGCTGAGAAAACACTGCACTCACAAAGCAATGAAGTTTCGCTTGTTGCTAACGGAGATTATTCCCAGCAACTCAACACTGTCGGAAAGGAACTGGTCAGTAGCAAACCGAGTCCACAGGCCGATAAGCCAACCCCAGATACAACCCAGTGTTCTCCCATAAAGAAGCTCCATTTGCCACGGGGACTAAACAGAGACGATGCTTCAGCCCCGCAAGACGCCCCCTCTAGCTGGCTGGATGTGGACTTCCCCAAACGGAAGCTCAAAGTCCCAGTGCCCAAACTGAGCTACTCTGGGAGTGAGAGCAATCTGCTGGACACTTCTGGTGACCTAGATGACGATGATTTCATTGAGAAAATCAAGAATCTTTGCTCGCCGTTCTCTCTCCCGCCACGTAAACACAACGTACTGCGGACCCCTCAGCCGCCATTCGCCATGCCCGCCATCAGGGAGGACCGCCATGAGAAGACGTTTGACCCCGATGAGTTTAAGTTTGGTTTGAGGAAGAAGGATCAGTTTAGTGTCGACACAACCCCAAGCTTCTTATCCAGGCTGCAGAACAAGGACACCAAATCTGGCATGAAGCCAGCCAGGGCAAGTTTGTCAGACAGGAGCATGCTGCTGAGTAGCCTGGACAGTCGCTCTCGCCTCAGGGACAAAGAGGACAAAGATGGGGAGGATGTCAAGGAAGAGAAGGAGGAGCAGGTCAAGGTGAAGTCTCGCTTGGAGGGCAGCTGTGTTCTCAGCAGCCTTTCCTCCTCCATTTTCAGAGGGAAGAGGAATGGTGGTCAAACGCAGGTAGATGGCACCAGCTCTGGGGATGTGTCACCGAGCGAAGCCCCCCAGCTAAGCCCTCCACCTTTATCCCAGCCAGGTTCAACAGCTCCACTCAGAGATACACTGGCCCTGAGCAGCAGAGAGGAAGCCCAGGCTGTGGAGGCTGTGGTCTGTGACTCAGGCCCTCCATTTCCCTCCTTTAACGACATCAAGCTGCCGGATTATTTAGAGAAGTACCTCCCCCAAGAACCAGCAAAACAAGGAATGGAGCAAGTCAAACCCGAGGTTAGTATTTCAGTTATTTTGACCAACTACTACTTATTTGGAATGTTAAGAAGTAGTCATCGTTACAGACTGATTTCAGAGACAACATGCATCTCACAAGCACAAGTTGTTATACGTACTTTAACAATCGGAGTGTTTGTTGTCTAATAACAGGAACTACTCGTAGTACCAATTGTTCTGTTTTCACATGTCTGGAAAAAAGAACAACACCTTTTCTTATTTGCAAAGAAGCACAGTAACAACTCATTTTTCTCCAATAATTCTTCTATCATCAGGTTATTGGAAAAATGCCAACCCCAGCCCGTGGAGATGAAGCAGACTGGGCAGTGAAACTTCCCCATGCTGTGCCTCCATTTTCTCCGGGGATTCCTCCAATCACACCCCCTACACTGCCGACAATCCCTGCTGAGCTGAAACAGCCTCCAGCTCAGCCCCGGGGAACTCTTAGTAGAAATGTAAGTGCATGTGCGACATACAAACTGTTAAACAATATATCATAGTTTTGTTTTTTAAGGTTTATTAAAGCTGATCCTTTCTTTGAAGTTTATGCATATGGGTTTAATCTTCTTGGTGCAGTGGGATGTGAGCTAGAAATGATTCATAATCCTTTTTTTCCTTAGAGCTGCATTTGCATTTTATGGAGAACTCCAGCAGTTTTATTTTAAACCCTATTTGCATTCTTTTATTTTCATTAGTAGGAAGTCTGTCCATTCACACTTCTTTTTGTCTTTTTAGTCCATGAAAATTATGTGGGATGCAACTTGTGATAGTTTTGTTAATGGCTCCTCCTAAATGGCTGGAAAGGTCATGTCAATACATTCTAATTATAGGGAGTTTAAACTATTAGTAAGAATAATTAGAGGTTTAACAATTGAACATGTTTGATTTCAAATCTTAATGACCAAATAACCTAACCCAAACCTTTCCAAAAACGATGATATTGAATAGCTATAAAAAGTGCTTCCATATATTTTATATTTTTGATGAATCTGCCAATCAATCATTTATATGTCTAGCCAATTCAGTTTCAAAAAAGTGATAATCATGGTTTTCAAAAAGTCTAAATGTGCTACCCATCAGTCCAAAACCCAAAGTTATTCAGTTCAAATGATCACTTTTGTAAAGCTAGAGTTAACGCCATTTGTAGCTTCTAAACTCTCAACTTGGCCTTTTTGCGAGCGTGCTGCATTGAGCAACACTTTAATTCCTGCTGGCTTTGCTCCACAGTGTTGTGCTTGAATGCAAATTTGAGCAGTCTCCATGGACGCACTTGTGTCCCTGGAAATAAACTCAAAGGTCAAGACATTCAACAGGCACAGAACTTGCTGCACAAACAAATGCACAATAGCTGTTTCTAGCACTTTGTAGGTGTTTTCCATGGTCTGCAGTCTATGTTGCAATGACAATCCTGTGTTTTTGTGTTCCAGATACCAACTGTCAAAGGATTTCACAAGCGCCCTGGAAAGGTACTGTATTCCCAGCTTTGCCCACATACAATAGAAACAAGATGGAGAGAGGAATCTGCACAGACAACTCTTTGTTCTGTGAAAACATCTGCTTTTCATATGGTGTTCTTGGGGGTAAACAAAGTATTAAAAAAAACAAATGCTCATCTGGATGTGATTACAATCATGGAATTCAGTGCTGCAAAATTGTGGTTGTGTATTATTGTAGAACTTCATTATAAATTGGCACTCAACAATTTCAGTTTAATGGCCACACATTGCTTTAATTCAGTCTACCTCCAGCTTTAGCTGTGCTGGGGATTCTCTGTCATGCCTGGTAAAACACTGCATGATAACATTTTAGATTTGAAAGCTTCTAGAAAAAAACTACAACAGTGATATTGACTGTAGAGAAGTCTCGAGAGAAACCAGTTTCTGTGCTACATTATTCACAAACTCCAATAGTCTGTTGCTTAATGAAATATGGATGACTTTTATAGTAAAGCGATGCGTTACATTTCCAAAACACCCTGTTGCTTTAAGTTGATGTGTGCCTGTTTGGTGTAGATAGAAACGTAACGATGCTTTTACTGCAGCTTGAAAGAGAAGCAAAGCAACTGCTCTCAGGTGTTTCTCAGCACTCTGTGAGTCATCATTTGATGTGATGGCATTGTATGTGTTTTCTTTTTTTTTTTTACACTATCCTTCATGTGTCCACACAGATGGTGTTGTTTGAGAAAGCTCAGTTCAGTGGCCAGGCCCATGAGATCTTCGGGGATGTAGCAGATGCTACGTCTCTGCAGCTCTCACCTCTCGTCTCTGTGATGGTTGTTAGAGGATGGTGAGTATCTTCATTCAACTGGAACCTTCAGACGATGAAAAATAAATTAGCACTGAAGTCTAATTCTAATTAGTGTCAAGTGGAATTGGGAACCAGAGTAGCCTGTTACATAATTTCTTGCATATTTATATATTTGAATTGCCTCTGCAGCTAAGAAGTGCATTTGTGTTCATTAGTTGATGACCTCATGGGCTCTGTCCAAAGGAAACACAATCCTCCATCTAGCACCTCTAAAGACCACCAATTCATTAATTATCTTGTTTTGTTCAGCCAACACAAATCCCAGAGTGTAAAATCGACATGTTGTGGTTTAGAAGGATGATGTGCTAGGGTTGCCAGGCAACCAGTGGAGACCTCAGGAAGTTGTTGTGCCGGGCAAAAATGGACATTTTTGCACACATGATAAGCTGGGCTCATGATTTATTAGACAGATATGAGAGTAGTGTTGATTTGATCTTATCTAACGTTTGGAAAGAAAACTGACACAGTGATAATATGTGTATTAATAGATCACATTTCTAGCTTAAGCTCAACATATTTAATACAATTATTCAAACAAAACAGAAACCCATGTGTCTGTATGACATGCAAACATTAGGAACATGGCAGTCCACTGATAGAGGATCAAGTGCAAAATGCATGTATACAATCATATATAATTTAGTAAGATATGGGTAAAGCAGGTGAAATTTAGTAAAGGAAATTACCACATGTATAAACAAATAAGATGAAAATATAAGAGATGATCCCACATGTATATTCCCCAAAATGTTAAAGTATGTATTGCTTTATATGCCATGCACATGTTTCCTTGTCCTTGCTATTTCTTCCCCAACAATTCTCTGTTTCTGGCTATATGAGAACACATTCTTGTTTTCACAACAGCTGGGTTCTCTATGAGAAGCCTGACTTCCAGGGACGCTGCATCGCCTTGGAAGAGGGAGGCATTGAATTGACAAACATGTGGGCAGAGCCGGGTCCGGAGACAGAGCCAGAGAACCTTCCTCCAATGCAAATGGGCTCCATGCGACTGGCTGTCCGGGTGAGCGATCAGCCTGAATACGTCTGCTTCATTTGGCCTTCAGTGTTACATCATCATCCCCTCCAATGGCCCTCTTTAAAACACAGCTATTATGTGATATTGCTTTATTGATATTCAGTTGATACCTCTGCTAGAACAGAATAAGCGGGCCGAGTTAAGGTTTTATTTTATTTAGGACCAGAATTGACCACTGCTGACAATCACTGTGCTTGTTTCCCCTCTCTCTGTAGGATTACAGCCAGCCACATATTGATCTGTTTACTGAACCAGAGGGCCATGGCAGAGTAACACCTTACCATGATGATACAATAGAAACGGGGGCTTTTGGCGTCCCACTGAGCACTGCTTCCATCCAAGTGCACTGTGGAGTGTAAGTGTGACTGTTGTTGCAAAACAATCATTCAAACCTTTGCCATTTAGTGGTATTAAAGTGTATGTGACAGTAAGGACGGGCCAACAAAATCAAATCCTCAGCAAGTCACATAGTCTTCTAATTATAGTTGATCAGTGGATAGGCAATGCAGTACATTAAGCCGCTTAAGAACAACACTTCATTGCTTTGTAGCAGCAGAGCATACAAGTGAAGCTAATGAGAAAACCCCAGCGCTCTGCAATGATATTTACTGTATATTGCTAATGACCACCACAACCTCATCTGTGCTCAGTGTAAGGTTGTAAAGTTTGAGGTTGCTTTGAATTATAGCTGAGAGTTAATAATCATTACTAGCTTCTTCAGTCGTTGGCATTGTCTTTAGTTTGACTTTCACAAGTTTGCCTCCACTGGAATGTCTGTCTTGTTTATGCATGTCAGAAAATAGAGAAAGTGGGTGTGGGGGGAGTTGGAAAGCAGAGTGGAGAGGTGTGGAGAGAATTTGGTTTAGAGAGGAATGTTTTTCCACGTCAGAGGTGTCTGCATTCTGGAAATTGTGTGCCCTACTTATGAGGAATTGTAGGACTGCATATGTTTTTCACATAGCTATTTTTGTGGTTTTACCTTGGCACCTTTGTCTCAGTTTTGAGATTGTTGACAAAACTAATTGCTGTCAAATGCCAGGCTCAGCAACAAATGGTAATGCTTCAGCAGAACCCCCTAAAGTGTTTCCAAATGGATCAAATGTTCAACAGATGTAGTGCACCAAGTTCAGTTGAGTTCAAACTGACTCATTGTCTCCTTTCAGTGCCATGAGGTTGGCATCATTTCTTGGTATCACTTCCTTAGCACTGAATAAGCTGGGTTTTCTTTTTTTGCTCAACATAATGGATCAAAAAGCCAGAGGTAGGGGCATAAATCCAACAAAGGCTGCCGATGATAAAAAGTGAAAGAAGATTCTTTGAACTGAAGTATGCCATTCCCGAGATATTTATTTTATTCCATAAGAAATAGCTTTTGTTCTCTGCGTTTTTTTTGGATTCATCTCTGACGTAAATGTGAAATACCTAATTGAAACACTGCCCTGAGTTAATAACACTAAATGTACTGAGAAAAGTAGCCAACACTTCCTGTAACTGCTGAATTCCATGAGGGAAAACCATTTATAACATTTATGGCTTTTAGAAAAGCAACAAGACAAGCAAGGTCATGAATCACTTTGCTTTTAAAACCCCCAAGAAGCAAATTGGGCACTCTGTGGAGAGACCTTTTCACTTACTGCTTAATTCACATGTGATGTGGGTGTCGCTCTGTCCTTCAGGTGGCTGCTGTTCAGTGACCCGGGCTTTCAGGGAATGATCGCTGTGCTGGAGCCGGGAGCGTACCCGGTCCCTGAGGCCTGGGGCTTCCCATCACCCTTTGTTGGATCTCTTAGGCCACTCAAAATGGTTTGTATTTATTTATCTAATATCTTATGTCATATTTTCTTTGTTTTTTTTCACTGCTGTATTGGGTAGAGCTCAAGTACTGGTTTTTCAAGCAATCAGGGTAGGCTTTATAAGCTCTGTCTTTAGCCTTAAAGTGGACCTATCATGCTATATTTGAATAATATAGTGTAGGACCATACCTATATAAGGCATATTTATACTTTTTTTTTTTCAAAATACCAAACAGATCATGCATTTTAGCCATGCCTCATTTTGCTCAATTTGACAATTTCTAGCTCTGTTTTTGCAAGGGCTGATTATGTGAGAACAGCACCATCTACAGGCCTGGCATATGTACTACAGCGTCTCCAGCACTTTCGAATGGCAATGGCCGTGGCTGTCTCCTCCTGATTGGTGGAGTTGGCCCAATAGCCGTAGCGCCACTGTCCTGACGTCAGGACAGTGTTCAAATCTGGATCAGTTTTTATCAGATCCGTTGCAGCCCCTTTTTTAGAGATTTGGGTATGGAGGAAAATAGAGAGGGTTGTGTTTTCTGACACTTGGTGTGTTCCCTGGAACACCGGGGACACATATTCATGTATAAAAGACGTACAAAAGTGCATTTTGCATGATAGGTCCCCTTTAAGCTATTATTTCTCTCAGAGAATATTATTTGATTTTGTTTCATTTTCAATTAGTTCATGTTCCCCTCTGTATGGAATGTGACCATGAAAGTCTCACAGCATTTTATCTAGTACCAATCATCAAATAAAACTTTTAATTTGTCCAATACTTTGGTTTATGAGCAAGTACCTTGTGACATTTCTCAGCTGTAACTTGCGTGTAGTGCTCTTTCACACAGTTTGGCTTCGATTAGGCACAAAACTAAGATGGTGAACACTTTGATCATTGGTGATGTTTAGCATGTATTGTGAGCATGTTAGCATGCTAAAGTTAGCTGTGAAAGAGTTAAAGGTTTCCATCAGAACATTGGTGGTTGCTAACACAATAAATATGCTACAATTAGCTTTCATGAACACACTGTTCTTAGTTCAGTAACCATTATGACCCCCTAGTAAGGCAAGGCAAGGCAAGGCAAGTTTATTTATATAGCACCTTTCAACACAAGGCAATTCAAAGTGCTTTACAAAAATGGAAGACATTAAGAAAATGGCATTTAAAATCAGTCATTAAGAATAAAAGATAATAAAATAAACATTAAAAGAAGAAATACATGGATAAAAGTTACAGTGCAGTTTAAGATGTGAATAGTTCAATTAAAAGCAGCGACAAAAAGAAAAGTCTTCAGCCTGGATTTAAAAGTAGTAAGAGTTGCAGCGGACCTGCAGGTTTCTGGGAGTTTGTTCCAGATATTTGGAGCATAATAACTGAACGCTGCTTTACCATGTTTAGTTCTGACTCTGGGGACAGAAAGCTGACCAGTCCCTGAAGACCTGAGAGTTCTGGATGGTTCATAATTTAGCAGTAGGTCAGACATGTATTTTGGGCCTAAACCATTCAAAGCTTTATAAACCAGCAACAATATTTTGAAATCTATTCTTTGACACACAGGAAGCCAGTGTAAGGACTTCAGAACAGGAGTGATGTGATCCACTTTCTTAGTGTTAGTGAGGACTCGAGCAGCGGCGTTCTGAATTAGCTGCAGCTTTCTAATAGATTTTTTAGTGAGACCTGAAAAGACACCATTACAGTAGTCCAGTCTACTGAAGATAAAAGCATGGACAAGTTTTTCCAAATCCTGCTGTGACATTAGTCTTTTAATCCTGGATATATTCTTTAGGTGATAGTAGGCTGATTTAGTAACTGTTTTAATGTGACTGTTGAAACTCAGGTCAGAGTCCATGACTACACCTAGATTTCTGGCTTTATCTGTTGTTTTGAACATTGCAGACTGAAGCTCAGCGCTAACTTTTATACGTTCGGCCTTGGCTCCAAAAACCATTACCTCAGTTTTATCTTTGTTTAATTGGAGAAAGTTCTGACACATCCAGTCATTGATTTGTTCAATGCACTTACTCAGTGTTTGAATTGGAGCATAGTCTCCTGGTGAAATTGTTACGTAAATGTGTGTGTCATCCGCATAGCTATGGTAACTTATTTTGTTGTTTTTCATTATCTGAGCCAGTGGTAGCATGTAGATGTTAAAGAGAAGAGGCCCCAAGATGGAGCCTTGAGGTACCCCACATGTCATATTTGTCAACCCAGATGTGTATTTACCTATAGAAACAAAGTTTTTAGTAGTGATGTTTGTGAATTGCGTCACTCCGACATTGAACAAAAGCGTCAATGTTAGAATTGGCACTAATTACCTTCCCACAGTGACAGACGTAAAGGTCAATATGTACGTTAATTATTCTTCTTTGCTCCCTGTTCAGGTTTAAAATAATTGACATAACAGAGCCATTTGCATACTGTACAATGTGTATTTAATGAGAGAAGAACATTGGTGCTGATGATGATGTCTCTGTTTCAGGGTGGTTTCAAAGTAGAGAATCCAAATGAAGTCAAGGTAGGATCATTTTACATATTACGTCTCTTGAGTGTTGTGTGCTTTGTGTAAATAAAATGTGATTTAAGATCTTTGAATTATCAACAAACCAAATGATGTTTTAAGCTAAGACATGTTTATGTAAAAAGCCAATTTTTCTGTTGAGTTTTTCTTTCATGTTAACCAGAGCATTTTATTGCAGCAGACATTTTTAAACCTCATAATGAAAGAAAAACAGCCTTTTCTTAGACTCATCACTCTTTACAGTGATTCAACAATCCTAGCAGAAAATCACTTAAGTGCATGCATTGCTAAAGTTGTACTCACAATGTTAAGAAGCCAAATGGCGCTTTATTTAACGTCAGTCTGAACCAAAGCCAGATATTCCTAAAAAAATAAAACTGAAGCTTAAAATCTACATTCAGCAAAAAGCGTTATCTTTTTTATCTTTGTGGGTTTTGTATCTATGCAACAATCATCTTGGAACAAGTCTACAAAATGAATGCATGTGTAAAATACTGAAAGAACCGAAGCACAAACAAAGCATGTCGTCACAAGGACACAGATGAAAGTAAGTGCAGTTTATCAACTTACACAATCAATGAGTTTGGCCTTTTCACTTTCGCAGGCTGTGGTGTTTGAGAAGCCTGGCCTTGAGGGCTCCTGTTTGGAAATTGACAGTGACGCTTTCAGCTTTTGTGAAAGTCAAGAAGACATTGCTGCAGATGGAGAAAACTTTGACTCAACACAACTGAAGTCTATGGGTTCTCTAAAGATCATCGGAGGATTGTGAGTCTTCATACTTCACTCTCTGGGATGAAGTCAAGTAATAATCTTGACTTGAAGGGTAGTTTATTCCGGGTTTTGTTGTTGCCAGCTTGTGAATTTGAGGTTATGTAATGCAGTTACGATATGTATAAATACAGCTCTAACTAAAAACATGGCTGCTCTTCTCTCCTTCCAGCTGGGTGGGCTACAGCGAGCCTGGGTTTGAGGGCCAGCAGTTCATCCTGGAGGAGGGGGAGTACCTGGACTGCAGCGACTGGGGGGGCTCAGAGCAGCTCCTGTCACTGAGACCAATACTGGGTGTAAGTACCATACTGAGCTTACTCACTATGAATCTTTGAGTGACTAAAGCTTATTATACACCAGTACGCAACACAAAATAGCTGTGGTGTAGTGTTTACATGATGGTTCGACCACCCTGGGTGTGAACGCCAGAATACAAAATAAGGAACGTTTTTTCCCCTGAAGAAAATGTATTCTTGTCGGAATGGAAAATCGAAAACTTTCCATATAAACTGACACTTTTGACAGTGTACAGAAAACACAGGGTTAGGAAGCAGGGGGACAGCTAATAAATACCAGAGAAAACTCTGAGGATTACTAAACTTAGAGAAGTAATGCACAGAAACAGTAAACACAAGTAAATAAAATGTAGAAAGGCAATAAAGTTTTGTTTTTATGAGCCTGTGGTAAGGGAATAAACTCCACATTATTATTATTTGTGGGAAAACAGATTCTTTTGTTAAGCTTTACAGAAGTGGTTCTCTAACTGTGGAGCAGACTCTCCAGGCATCTCAGAGAATGGCACACATGTCTAAGGGGGAAATACTTAATTAGGTTGAATAATTAATTGAGTTAAATTAATCTGATCCATGTGGGCAAAGCATGACAACAGGGAATCTTTGCAATGTTATCATGATCCAGATTAATATTGTTATATACATTTCACAGCTGTGAAAAATAAAGTCAAGAAATTATGATACATTTATCTTGGTTCAGATAACTCAACCTTGTTTACTTTGGATTTTTCATTAGCGAAAGGAAACATCTCACACTCTTGACATTATTATTACGAATGTTTGACATTTTGATCTTCATGTTTGCATGGACTATGTTGTGATGTTCTTCTTCTTTCTATAGGATTTCATGTCTCCACATCTCAAAATGTTCAGCGACAGAGACTTCGGTAATCTGGGCGTCAACATTGACCTCTCAGTGCCTGTTATTAACATGGAGGACACAGGCTATGGTGTGAAGACGCAGTCAGTGGATGTCATCAGTGGAGTGTAAGTGACACATATAATACTTAAACTACGTAAGCAGTAGGTAAATAAAAGGATAGTTCACAGCATAGTTGTTTCTCCTGTTAAAGTCAATCGGTGTCTGTGATAAATTACAGTTTAGTGCATGCTAGGAGATACATTTCTCCATTCAACCTGATAATTACTTAGGCTGCAGTCCAAGTGAGGTTTTGTGTGGTTTGTTACCGTTCTCTGAAGCTCAGGTGCATAGCGGTAAGGCTGCCGCACCCACGACAAGTCGAGACAGGCTACCTAGTTCAATAATGGTTTGTCTGCCACACCTCACTATCCGTCAGTGTAAGTCAGCTCTGGAGCATGCTGTCTCACACCCTTGCAGAGGAAATAAATGTGCAATTCATGCTGGGTGTGGAGGAGGAGTTTCTAGACGCCTGAACACTGTTAACAAGAAATGTCATTCATATTCGGATTGTACTTTGTCTCAAAAAAGTAAAAGATCCAAGTAGTGGTGGTGTTCCATGGTTGTTTCCATTTCTGTTTCTTTAAGCTATTAGCAGCGAAAATCAATCGTTCCTTTTAAGACATGGAAAGAAGGATTATATAAACATTAAATGCAGGAGTAAACAAAAACCAGAAGCCAATCGGAAGGAATCATTACTCAAATGAGAATAATGAAATGCAGAACATGCTGAGCGCGGCTTCCCAAGGGAGAGGCTAACAAAATGGTGAATAATTATAATAAGAATGGAACATTTCGTTCCTCCTTTAGGAGGCAGGACTCCTCCATATTGAAGGGTTATTCTCGCTGTGCTGCTAGCCTGTTATTAGTCAGCACGGCCTCGCCCATGCCGTGCTGATGTCCTTCTGAGCCTGTGATTGGCCCAGCGTGTTGTTTGAGCATTGCAAAGAGAGACTTGTTTGTAATTTAGCACACAAGCCCTGAAGCAGAAATACCCAAGGCGTCCACAACAAAAACACTCCCGCTCAGCCACCCAATACATACCAGTTTCTCAGAGAGTACAAACAGTACATAAGTGCTGAGATGCTATCATGTCGGAGGCCATTATCAATTTGGACCTTGACCAAGACTTGTTTACAACCGTGTTGAAAGAACAACACTTTCTTTGACTGTGTCACACTGGGAATTCTTGCAGTTTTCTTTGATATTAACTGTGTACTTATCACACAGTGTATCTCTATACTAACTCTGAAATGTCAGTGAGAAATGAAAGGGTGCTTATGTTCCTCCTCCTTCTGTTTCCTCTCTCAGCTGGGTTCTGTTTGAGGAGCTGGGCTTTTGTGGGGAGAGCTTCGTCGTGGAGAAAGGCCTGTACGGATGCCCGGAGGACTGGGGGGCGCTCAAACCCAGAGTTGCCTCAGCAATGCCTGTCCGGGTGGTAAGAGCAATGACTCAATTCAAAGTTGGAATCTTGTTGTTTTATTAGGCACATGTTCAACCACTGCAGCGGCCTGTGTTTGCTATAGAAGCACAATTAGTTTCTTATAATCAGAGCTATTTTAATTTCAGCTTTTATGATTCATTACTGTGCAGAAGTGCTTTAGTCTCACTTCCCCTGGAATTCCTACTTTGGCCAACCAAATCCAATCATTGCATGTGACCAGTCACAACACTCAGGCTTGTGGCCAAATCAAAGTTGAAAATGGAGAAAATTACATTTGTGATCATGAGTCACAAGCTGAGCAAAATGAGTTAATCTGTGCACAGAGGAAAAATGTGTCATAAGACTTAAAGTGAAAACATCTTGATTTATCAAAGTGAGTCATCATGAGGCTTTGAGGCGTTTCAAACTGAATGATTAACAACAGGCATTAACATTTCATTAAATGTCTTCTTTTCATGGAATAATTCACCCACACAATGTTTTAACCGTTCATTTGTTTGACAGTTACTCACCCTGTGTTTCAAATTAACAACAATCTTTTTATATGCAAATTAACCCATGGTTGATTGCTTTCTACTGTGTTGTTTTGTGCATGTAAATGAAATGAAAGCTTTTGTTTCATTTCAGGGTGACTTTGAGAATGCAGCCAAGTTCAAGGTATGTGATTTAAAAGGATGATAAAACACATGCTGAGATGGTGGATAGACACTTTATCTGATGATGTGTGACTCTCAGACTGTATGACTCAGGCTTTTGTCTCTGTGGGTCTCAGGTGCAGCTTTTCTCTGATCCAGACTTTGAAGGCTCTGTCCTCCCTCTGGAAGACAGCGCGGCCTCCCTGCAGGACGGCGTGTCTGTGACCTCTTGTAAAGTCCTGGCTGGAAGGTGAGAACTACTGCGCACTATGAATAAAATATCACTCTGCAGTTATTGTGAGTCATGATATAGGTTGGTACTTAAATGACTGCGCCATTCTGCAAAATCTGATTTTAGGAATAAACCCTTTTGGATTTCCCAAAGGTGAATCATACCAACGTAGCTTCATACCGCTCAGATACCAACATGTCTCTGTGGCTCAGTATCTGCTACAGGCTGTCACTGCTCCACTTCCAAAAATATGTCTCATGTGGCTGCAGCCTGCGATGTACTGCACATCTTACATTTTGAATGCTGCACTGTCAATATCAATTTGATATATTGCTAAATGTGTGAACAGCTGTTCCCATCTTCAAGCATGAATAATCTAGCATATGCATATTGGCATTTTAATTTAATATACAGTATGCAAATAGTGTTTAGAACATTACTCTGATTTAGTGCTTCTCTTGTGTGTGTGTGTTAATGTGTTTGTATCCCTGTGTGTTTATGCAAATTATTTCCAGCTGGCTGGCATTTGAGGGCCAGGACTTCACTGGCAGGATGTATGTGTTGGAGGTGGGGGGCTACCCGGACCTGAGGGCGATGGGCTGCGTCAGTGCGAGCTCCTCCATCCTGTCACTACAGACGATTGGCTTTGTAAGTTTATTCTCCTCTTGTTATTATTTTAAAATGTGTTAAATATAAATGTTCTAGGGTTTATCACTTTGTTGCACTGACTGTCGTAAAGTGAGGCTAACACCATATATTTAAAACTGCTACAGTCAATATTATTGTATTGAAAGAGCACTGCACCAATATAGCTTTGCAGTTCCTATAAAAATGTCAGACATATGGACAATTTAAAATATATCAAAGTCATTTTCACTACATGCAGGTTTTCTGTATTTCCTCTTTTGCTGATAGCAAACAGCACCGCTAGTCTTCATGTTATTGCATATCAAAGGTCCACAATAAAATAATACTGCCTTCACAGGGACAGATTACAAACAGGACTGTTTAAAATCCACTTAGCAGCTTGGTTGCACCTAGAATAATAAAGATCATTTGAAATGTCTGCCCTTTTGACCTATAATAAAAGAAATCATAGGCTTGGCTGCTAACGTTAGCATTGCTTGTTTGCTATCATCTGGGCAAAACGCCAGGGAGCACTTGAGTTTGTCTTGTCCGTTTCTATGGTAAACCTAAAAATAACTTTAATGTCTACCTGCATGACACGCAGCCCACCGCCCACCACATTCTTTAATGTATGTCTTCCTCTCGCTTGGCAGGAGTTTTCCCTCCCATCAATCACTCTGTTTGAGCGGAGTGGGCTGTGGGGGAAGAGAGTGGTTCTGACGGAGGCATCAGTCAACCTTCAGCTGGCTGGAGGCTGCAGCCGAGTCCAATCTGTACTGGTGGAGGGAGGCATGTGAGTACCACATTATACCTGCTGCCTGGTAACGCCATGTAAGAATGTAAAGCAGCCAGTCACCTAGTCCTCCTTTCCATGTGAGATTGACAGGTTCATTCATAGCAGCCTGTGAGTGGGTTTCTACCAGGAGTGAACCCAATGTGCTGTCGAAGCCATTCACACTGCCAGGAATGCATCAAACAGAATAATATCCCTAATGTTGCACTCACACCTTCTCCACTTCTAAACCCCTTTTGGTTTTTCATCTATATTTAATATCTTTCAAATTCAAAAAGTTATCAAGCTTGTGAAAAACACCATGTAGAGTGCCAAAATCAGTTTGATTTTAAAGGTGATACATCTCAAAAGACAAAGGAGAAGATGTTGCTGGTGTTCTCTTGACTGGCAGTGATAACCTTTACATTTGCAAGAACCAAGTCTATTGACTCTAATCCCGGTCTGTAATCCAGGTGGTGAAAAGAACCAAGTCTATTGACTCTAATCCCGGTCTGTAATCCAGGTGGTGAAAAGAGCTCCCTGTTATTCTTTCTTAAGACTGTTAGGGTAGCCTGTGTGCTCAGACATGTTTCATAGATTCACATTCATTGAGTGCATCTTCAGCACATCTTATGCATGGCAGTGCTGTCAGATGGAGTGATGACGGAAACCTGCTGCTGATGTGCGAGATTTAGACTGCATGTGTGAACCAATGCAGAGGAAATACAGAGCTCCCAGTCTGTGGAGTGGCACATTCCTGCTGCAGCAGAGACGGGCAATCAGCCCAACAACAGTCCATTGAGATCCCAGTTCAAAGCAACATTTAGTGTCCGAGACAGAGAAATTGGATAGCAGTGAAGCTCAGCACATTTAGAGAAATGACCTTTGACACAGTGCTGCAAAGGCGGAGACTCGACAAATAAAGCTAAAAGAAGAATATGTTCCTTCACAAGTTAGAAAGCCTGGCTTTATAACACCAGAGATGAAAGCCCTGGGTCAACAATAACAAACTGGGACTCAACATTGCAAAAACAAAAGCAATGGTGTTCGGATCCAGACATATGTTAAGCAGCAATCCTCAATTAAGCCTGACACTGGCTGGTCAGACAGTGGAACAGCTAAACGAGACTAAGTTGCTTGGCATTGTTCTTGATTCTGGTTTAAAGTGGACAAAGCAAATTGACAGTATCGTAACTAAAATGGGAAGGAGCATAGCTGTGGCGAGAAAATGTACAAAGTATGTAACACCAACCACTTTGAAACAAGTCATTCAGTCTCTGGTGTTGTCACATCTTGAGTACTGTCCGGTCATATGGTCATCAGCAGCAAAAACACATATACAGAAATTACAAATAGCTCAAAACAAGGCTGCCAGACTAGCTCTCCACTGTTCGAAGCGCAATCATATTGGAGTTATGCATAGAAACCTATCATGGCTTCCGGTTGAGAAACGTCTGCAATCTCGTGTTATCACTTTTCTAAAAAATGTCCAATTTAGCAAAAAACCATTGTATTTTTATGATCAAATAGTTGACACAAGAGACGAGCATGACCATAAGACTAGACAAGCTACATCAGGCCATCTACTGGCACCTAAACCCAGGACACATCTTCTGTGACTTATAGAGCTATAAAGGAATGGAACTCATTGCCAAACTACCTCGCTGAAATAGAGTCCAGAGCCTCTTTCAAGAAGAGATTGAAGGGCCATCTACTAATGAGCATGTACCCTTGTGAGCTGTGAACCCTCATTTAATTTGATCTCATGCTTTGTACTGGTGGGTGTCTTGTGCACTCATCCTTGGCTGAGATTGATATTGAAAGTGGATGACATTGTTGATGATGTTGGAGATTGTTGATGATATTGGTGATAATGTTGTTAATGATGTCAGGAATTATGTCTTGAATTATTGTTGTATTATTGTTGTATTGTTTTAAGTGTCAGACCCCAGGAAGAGTAGCTTTTTTAAAATCTACTCTTAAAACACACTTCTTCTCCCTGGCCTTTTAGTCAGAGCGGAGCATGACTTCCTGACTTTTCCCTGTGTTATTTTTTTTATATATCTGTTGTAATTTATTGTCTTTTATTGTGATTGTAGTAATGTGTTTTTATGATTGTAGTATTTATTACATGTACAGCACTTTGGCCCGACCAAAAATCGCTTTTAAATGTGCTTTATAAATAAACTTTGATTTGATTTGATTTGATTTTGTCAAGAGCAAAAGCTAATGGGGACCCTAAATAAACATAAACACCAGAAGTTGAAAATAAGAGTAACATTTGTATTTGTTTTACCTTTATCTATCTCTGTTAGGTTGATCTAATAACCTTTGTTATAATGTTACAGGAAGCAACATACAATGAAGGAAGAGAAATACATACAAATAACCTATGAAATGCATTGTTCTACTCGTCGATGCAGTTTGTTGAGATGAAGAATTCAAAGATTGAAATACAAGCAAATCAAACGTTTGTTATTTGGCCAGCCTAACTTCTGAGTATAAATAGGAAACACCAGTGTAAACAGTATTTCTCTTTGAATGAACTGAGAAAAGCTGAGCAGGAAGTGGTGTTGGTTTCACTGTGGATGTTGAACATATAAATCTTTACTCGGTTTTTGTTTTTTCTTCATCACCAGGTGGATCTTATATGAGGGAATCAACTATCGTGGTCCTCAGATCTTGCTGAAACCTGGCGAGGTGCCAGACTTGAGAAAGTTCAGCAGCTGGCAGAAAATTGGATCCCTTCGCCCTCTCACACAGGTATATCCTTTCACTCCACACTAGGCACAAGGTGTCTCTGCACCGCAATGCTACCTTTTATAAATGTTTTAACCATACGTGCTGCTACGTTACAAAGATTGCACTGTTTAGGTCACTTAATCAAGTTTTCACTGCTTGTATGGTTTAGATTTTACTTATGTTAATCAATTTTCTTAATGTACTTTACATTCAACTTGTACTTTTATGTTGGACACTAGGCAGCTGATCAAAAGCACACTGAATACCTATTGTATTATTTTGTACGTACTGTCCACTCCAGACCTACTCTGGTCTACTGTCAGTGAACAGCTGTGTCAAGGTGCCTTAACTTTAAGAAAGAACAGAAGAAAAACAGACCTTTGCAGCATTTGAAACTGTAATTATTAAACCCTAATCAAAATGTAATTGTATGGTGGAGAACATCCTTTCTTTCTTTCAAAGATGGCTCACATTGAAGTCCGGTTATATCACATTAGTTTGTGTAGAGCTGTATATTAGAAGCTTTGATTTCCTTATGTAACGTTGAAACTTTGTTTAGAAAAAGGCACAGACACATTTTGTTTGGTAACCTACTTCTCTTTCAGAATAATGAACCCTGTTTTTCACGAAGCAGAAGCCCTGATGCCATTGTGTTTTTTGGTTATGTGTTATTTCCGAGTAGAAGCGAGTGCACTTCCGTTTAAGGAACAGACACTCGGGGCTCATGATGTCAGTGACCGGCGATTTGGAGGAGGTCAAACTGCTGAAGATCCAAGAAACAGATGAGACTGATGGATTCGATCAGATCTGGTTCTACCAGGATGGATACCTCCACTGCAAGGTACGGTACCAACATGACAATATTACATAGTTTGACCTGATGGTGCTTTGAATGAATCATCACCAAGCCTTGCATAATACAGTAATTGGGATCACAAAGATCAGTTGCTCTGTTTTTTATATATAGCATGTACATTGTGGTCATCCGGTCAATCTATTCCACAAAATACATTTAAATGATTTAATTCAATTTGATTTTAAAACATGTATACTAATGGTATTGTGCATGCTTTAAACTGGTCATGCATATATATGAAATAATAAATGTATGATGGTTGAAAATAAGGAGTAGCAGGTTGTACTGTCTCCCACCAAAGACATGAGTTCAAATGGGATTTTGAAAGGTGTAAAGTTAACATACCAGAGAAAACGATTTGTTAATAAGTTCCAACACTTACTGTAACTCCCTTACTGCCATGAAACGTTTGCTGCAATTTTGAAAAAAAAACTGCATTCTGTAATTAAAGCCCCCAAGTGCGTCATCAATAGAAAGCCAAGGATGTGCATTAAGACTCAGTAATAGTTCAAACATAGTGTCATGAATAAGCCGCTCATTGTCTTGCCCCCGCAGAGAAAAAGTATGAATTGTCAGTTCTTAGTAGCAGAGGTGATCAACAACTACAAAAGATGCTGCAATCCAGACCGTTTTAATCATGTCAAAATGAATTCCCAAACTTAAGTAGAATCATTTGAATCAAGACTAGGTCCAAAGCAGGTCAAACAAAATACTAAAGACTGCTAGTACCGCGTACATCGATATAACCTCAGTTCAACTTTCTATTGAGGTGACACTATGAACCTCCCCGTCAAACAAAACACAGATCCCAGATAATAGAGTGCTGGTTGAAAAAGGTTAACCACGGGAGTAAATGTCACTGAACTCCCCTCCTGTGTCTCAGCTGCTGGAGGAGTGCTGCGTGGGTCCCACTGGCAGTGTGACGATGGTAGGAAGCCGAGTGGGTCTCAGCCCACATCCTGAAAACCATGTCCACCTCTGGAGCATCACCCCCGAGGGCTTCATCCGCTACACCCCCACCTCTGATCTGGTGCTGGAAGTCAAAGGTGAGTCTTCTAAACCTTTTATAGAAAACCAGTCCTTTTTTTATATTACAAGACACATAGTACGAATGGTATAGCTGACCTTGGACAGTATGTTTTTATGATGGAATTACTTCACGGTTATGCTGTATTCCTTTCAATGTGTAAGTCAAACGTTCATATACTTTATGTTCACCTTAAGGAACATTATTTAATGATATCCTAATATTCTTTGTAAATGCAAGACGCATTCATTTGACTCAGTACACTACTCCTTTTACTCACCTTGAACCTTACTTTCTGTTCTTTTTACATAATAACTTTAACTGGAAACTGGGTATTAATGCATGCAGGGCTTTGTTTGCAACACTGTCAATGAGTGACACCTTGTGGACTAATTCATGTTAGTGTCCACAGGATATTCCAGTGCACTAAGATGCATAGTATATAATAAGACCCTACACACATGTCGTACCTGGAGTAATTATCTGTATGTGCCAGGTTTTTACTAATATAGAGTATATGTATATGACAAAATGGACCTAAATAAACATTCAAAAAATGTGTCTCTGTTTCAGGGGGACAACACTACGACAAAAATCAAGTGATTTTAAAAACACTTGATCCAAGTAAACCACAACAAAGGTGGGATGTGGAGGTTATATGAAAACCTATGATCTCCTGGACTGTTATATATTATTATCATCAGAGGCTCTGTCATGCAGCTACTCAAAGGCGAGGTACGATCAGAGATGTTCCCCCTCTGCAGGAGGACGACACAAGTGTCCCATGAGGTCAACATGGAGAGCTTTGGATAAATCCGTAAGAATGTATTACTACTCAGAGCAGAGTCTGAACTTTAAATGCTTTGTATTTTAAACCAATTATATCCTACAACTTTTTTTCTTTTTATCGAATAAATCTGTTTGCCAGATTTTTATTAACTGAAACAGTGTTAAAAATGTTCTATACCTGTATGCAATGTTATGTTATATGTATACTGTATATATAGCACTATTTTCCAACTGCATGCAATATGACAACAAAAAAATGTTCTCTTGCAATGTGTCTTTTTTTTTTTGTTTAATCAAAATTACACTGCACAAAACCCCTGGTTTCCAGAATAAAGTATTTTTGTCAAAACATTTCTTTGATACATTGTTCAACACACTGAGCAAAGTGCTTCAGGTTTCAATAACAGTTTTTACCCAAATGTTGAACTGCTAACCTTTGTAAAGCTCAAACAATTATAAGCTGCATTCACATGATGTGAGATGTCACATGGGGTTGGGAAAGATTCCCATGGTTACGACATGATAGTCGTTAAACAACATAACATGGACAAATGCACAGAAAATCAAATGGCTTATCTTGCTGCCTCACCTCGTACTGGAGTATGAACACATCTGTTGATGGACATTTTATGTGACTCCTTGTTGGATAGATTGCAGTGATCAAAAGCCTGGCTGTACCAGCTGGATGCTGAGCTGAATGTTAAATCATTCCACAGCTGCTTTTAACAACCTTCACCTTAACAGGAACGCAGCACATCTTGTGAAATTTCAAGACAATACAGGAAGGTGTAAGCTTTTACAAGAGCAGCAGCCTTTGAAACACTCTAATTACAATCTCTGGTCATGCATATTCTGCTCTCTGCTGCACCCACCCATGAATAATACAATCTGCAGCTGTCAAGAGTAGCCGAGTAAAGGCGAGAAGAATCGCAGCGCTCTGCCGGCTGACTCTAGTGTTGCTCGGCCGGTTCTCGCCTTTCTTGTTCAAACTCTGCGGTGTCTCAGCAACTTTCCTGCACCAACTCTTCGGCCTGCTGGTCGTCCTCTTCGGTCACTCTGACCACCGTCTTCCTCTGGCGTGGCCCTGCTCCAACTTCTGGAAGGCCTGGGGCACCTGGGTAAATGGAAACTGGGCCTCCACAACTGGCAGGATCTGCAGGGAACCAGCAGAGAAATATCGTGATATTGAGCCCAACATATTTTAGGGAATAAATCATGAAACAACTAAAGAGAACACATTTAATCCATCAGCATATCAGCATGGACACAAAGGGAATCTGCTTTGCCTTAATGGGGTTGAGTGCCTTATTAGAGAGCATGATTAATGTTGAACGTTAAAGTCAATACATCGATTTCTCTGTGGCAACCTTTACTTTCTAATGTTGCGGTGATGGGATAAACTCTTTGCAATAAGTGCTGTAAACCGTGCAAATTGAGAAGCTATCTCCATTACTCCTGGACTCAGATCTAACATTATTTTTCCCCCAAAGCACACCACAGGGAAATTATAGTAAATTGATTTAGACAAGCCAAAATCCACAATCTCCTGATGCTACATCATCTGTGCTGTTATAGCTGTGAAAGGGGTGAGGCAGGGGTTCAGAATGTGATGAGGCTGGACAATCCTGTGCTAGTCCCACAACACCAGCTTGTTATTCTGGTCAGCATCTCTTGTCGCTAACAATGAATGGGGAGTGCAGTGGCGTCACGCTGGACACCATCCACACTTCTGCCTGAGAATAGGACACGCAGAGAGTGTGCGTGTGTTTTGTGCAGGGGGAGGGGGGGGGGGCTGTGTGTCTGTAGCTTCCCACCACAGGTCTGAGTGTGCCGCTCGCTGTAAGCCCCCGGGACAAAAGGACAGAGGTCCCACACGCTTTTGCGAATGGCTGCTCAGCACTGTTCAAAAATCCATTCAGCGTCTCCTGGCGCCTGACTCAATCGCCCAGAAGCCAACAGTGCACAGAGGGAATGCAATGCTCCCTCCTTAACAAAGCCTTGAATACAGGCATGTGTGGAATCCCTGGTATGTTCATATTTAATTTTCTGTATGATCTCGACCCTTGCATGGATTTCTCTCTCAGGCTGTGTGCAAATGAGCAGATTTCCATCTCTGTCAGTGTAAGAGGTTCTGAATAACAAGTATGCTGGCCTGTATGATGTCAGTAATGAAGCAGTACAGTACCTTCCCAGCATCCACCAGCCTGCTGACATCATCCAGAGCAGGCCCATCCGGAGCATAGAATCCCCACCGATAGAAGACTCCACCTGAAATGATGTTCTAGGACACAAACAGAGAGGAGGCTAAGATTAGAAGTCACGCAGGTGTGAAGCTCACTGTTTAGAAAGGAACACAGAGTGGTTGCCTGGTTAAGAAAATATAAAAATATCATTCATAGGAAGGTCACTAGGAGTCCTACATTGATCTCCCTGTTTTCATAAAGGTCAAAAGGTTTTTTACAAAATGAAGATAATACCATGAATGAATTTCTGTAGATTGGACATTTGTAGAAAGTCAAATCAGGATGTTTTGAGTTGCAGAAAAGTTCACTTGAAAGCCAGAACACACGTAATGTAAGACAGAGAAGTAACAGCATGGATTACATGGAAGAAATACTCACAATTACTCATTTTAATTAATGAGATTTATTAAATAAAACATTCTAATTGAGATTTAACATACAATAATTCCTCAGAAATAATAATAATAATAGCTTGCATTTATATAGCGCCTTTCAAGGGACCCAAGGTCGCTTTGTAATATAATGATAAATGATATCCAATGGTCAATGTCTTTTTTTAATCATGTAATCAACCCACTGAAAACAGGCTTTTTGTTATGGAGGTTTAATTATGTAACAAGGAGAAAACACCGAATTCCAATAAAGGTGCACCAGGAAACATCTAAAGCACATCAAGAAAGAAAGAAAGAAACTCCCATGCGCTTAAATTGAAATACAACACTTAATAATCGCCCACATTATTATGCGCATGGCTTTGCCACACCTCTATAGCCTCTGGTCAATCTATCTGTGCTTGCTTGAAAAAAACAACACTTCCTGATCATTGGTGATGACAAGAGATTGAACACTAGAGGGCTCAGTTGTGCTGTGGTCTCTGGATGAAAAGGACGTGTTGTCGGGCGGCGAGGGTGTGACTGCTGCGGCCGAGCGAGGCCAAACTGACCAGCTGGCTGCGAGCGTGGACAAAGGGGCCCGAGGCTTGGCAAGAAACACACAAACACTGGTATTTGCTGGGGGGAGATAGCCGGCTACAATCTGCACAAACACCAAATACTGCTGGTTCAGCAGCAGACATGAGCACACACACATCGCATCAAGTCTAACGCCCATCCACACACACACACACACACACTGTCAGCCGTGCTGCCACCAATGCCGGGGGCAGCTTAACTCAGTCCCTTGAGCAGCTCCACCCTGTCCTCGCCCTTTCTCCCACCACCCTCATTACACACACACACCACTAACAGAGCAGAGTGACAGGACCTGCATGTGTTTACATGAGGCTCACACCCATGCAGGGACTCCAACTCTTAAAGCTCAAACTCCTTCTACACCGGCACACTACTTTTACAAAGTATATGCTATGAAGCTAAGTCAAGATATAACATGATTTCTTGCTCTTTAATGCCAATGCACTTTGATCCATCTGTTCAACTTAAACAAAACTTCTGCTGGAGGGAACACAAAGATGTCTATCCATGCCACTGAGGACTACGTATTCCGTTTCAGTTTGGGAGCAACTGTGGTGCACACCCATGTAAAAAGATTCATTTTATCAATATACAACAGTACATTAAGGGCAGCAGTATAATCTTTCACATCTGCTCTGTTTTGAAATCTAGTCTGCTCATCTTACCTGCATGGCCTTGCTTTGCAGGGAGGATCCAGCCTGACACATCCCGTCCAGCAGGCCCATAGAATCGGTGTTGAGGAGTAAAGGTGTTACCAGAGTGACGTACTTTGCCCCAGACCAGGGCTTCAGCAGGCCCAACGCCAACTGCTCCATCTCCCCACCCACGTTGTCCAGAACCACGTCAAACCTGAGGGTGAAAGCACAGACTGTCAACTTACAGGGTGTGAAAAGGCTTAAAATAATTTACATGACATTACACGTTAGACGCTTTTATCCAAAGCGACTTGCATACTCAATACTGTGGGCAATCCCCACAGGAGCAATTTGGGGTGAAGTGTCTTGCCCAGGGACACAACGACATGCTGACTGCAGTGGGGTTTGAACCTGTGCTCCCCTGATCCCAACACCAACACACTAGTCCACTGCGCCACACGCCTCCTCTTTAGGGAATATATACTAAACCCATACATGCACACTTGGTAGCAGGCATAAGAGCATTGCATGGTTTATCACTGGTCAGGTGCCTTTTGCTAGTTCCATAATATAAATGGAAAATTAAAGCAAGGCTTGGACAATATAACTGTTATGTCTTCAAGTTTTAGGCAGAGTTTACCCATTTTGATTCAGGGGCAGTGAGAGGGGTTAGCCAGCACGCACTCAAGCCTTGAATCCTTGTTTCCACGGTAACAGGAAAACGAATCAGTGAGCAGTCGTGCTATTCTGACAGGACGATGTTTACCACATTATGGGGGCGTTTAAAGGGGAAAGCACACATAATTATCACAGTCCTGGATTATTCATTTTCATTAGCACCTTTATTGGACTGGCACTGACTCTAGTGATATTCTATTAGAGTGTGGGTCTGGAGATAGTGGAGAACATTGGTCCTCAATCACAAATATCCTCCAAAGTTTTTCCTCAATTTGTTATGAGAAAGGTCTACATCAGATTCATGACGTGTTCTTAAACTGCAGAATCCTTCCTGATGAATTTATATGTGTGTGGTCCTCATTTACAGGTAAACACCCAGCACAAACAAAAGTCAACGAAGGGTGGTGCAACCTATTAAAAAACCTATGTCTAAAATACCACAGAAAAGAAGCACGGGATGCCATTACTCGTTAACAGTTGAAGTGATTTTTAAGACTATTCAATGTCACCACTTTGCACATAATGTACTATATGATATGATAGTCTTATTACTTCTAAAACACCCTTTAATGGCATGACACATACTTCTCCATCATTTGTAGCTGCTCAGGCGCGTCTCCTGCTGTGTAGTCCACCACCTCGTCGGCCCCCAGCCCTCTAACAAGGCCCTCTGCGTTCTGAGAGCAGGTTACGGTTACGTGGGCGCCCCAAGCCTTCAATAACTGGCAGCAAACAGAGAAGGAAAAACAGAAATAAACACACAGACGCAGCAAGTGGCTCCTAGACTCAAGCAGAGTTTAAAATACTCAAAAACACAACTCGGT